TTGAGCAGGAGGGCTAGCCAACGCCACCCTCTCACACCTAGCACACCTCTTCCTACTCGTTTTCTGCGGCCAAACGGCCGCAGAAAAGGAGTATTCTGACGTTTACGCGACGGGAAACGAGGTGAGAGAATGAGAAAGTGAGCTAAGAGGGAAAAGTTGAGGGGTAAATGTGCTAGAAGAGCTGAGAGAAGTGGTGGCGTTGGGCAGTGTCTGGCACCTGATGTTTCGGCCTGGTACAGAAATAGTCACACGGTAGACCACGAGAGGAACCCTTCCTTCCCAACCGAGTCTATACCGCCACTAGATATTAATAATTGCCGTACCGGAGCAACGGTACCGCCAACGTACCGATGACTTGACATAACGAAAGCATGTTCCGAGTTCTCCTTTCGACGAAAAATATAACGTAAATATGTTAGTGTAAAGTAAATATGATGCGAATATTTTCTGTCGTCGTTTTTGATTTCGAGCGGAAATGTCTGTCGTGTCCGAAGGCGGAGGAAGTTGCACCTGTCTTGAGGAATTCACTCAGTGACGGCGTCTGATGTGACGTAACTTACGTGCACCTTGAGTAGCGTTGTAATGTTTCTTGTGTTAGATGTCAAGAACTTAAATCCATTTTTTTATCTTTGTAATGTGCAAGAAAATTTAAGGCAAATCTAGAGAGACGGAGAAGAAGAAGAAGAAGAAGAAGAAGAAGAAGAAGAGAAGAAGAAGAAGAAGAGAAGAAGAAGAAGAAGAAGAAGAAGAAGAAGAAGAAGAAGAAGAAGAAGAAGAAGAAGAAGAAGAAGAAGAAGAAGAAGAAGAAGAAGAGAAGAAGAAGAAGAAGAAGAAGAAAGAAGAAAGAAGAAGAAGAAGAAGAAGAAGAAGAAGAAGAAGGAGAAGAAGAAGAAGAAGAAGAGAAGAAGAAGAAGAGAAGAAGAGAAAGAAGAAGAAGAAGAAGAAGAAGAAGAAGAAGAAGAAGAAGAAGAAGAAGAAGAAGAAGAAGAAGAAGAAGAAGAAGAAGAAGAAGAAGAAGAAGAAGGTTAGGAACGAAGGATAACCCAAGCAACACTAAGTGTGACTCATTTCCACTGAAGTCTGTTGAAGATTGCATCTCCGACAGATCAAACAGCATCACACACACACACGACACGTGTAAGTAAGTTTACTCAGGTATACACAGTTACATAGATCATCACACATAGCAGCATAACTGTAGAGAACTTAGGATAACCAGAAAAGTCAGACAAAGTGACTTATTTCCATTGGGGTCCTTGTAATAACTAATATGTATATTTAAAAACGGGTATCTTAAGTATATCTCAGTGTTGAGAGCATCAAAACAAGAAAAAATTCTGTCCAAAGAATCTGCCAGTACACATTAGCTAATAACGTAGATACAAAAATCTTATGCATAAGGAGGAATGTTATATTTGAGGACGTCCAGAAACTTTATGGCGCAGTCTGCCATTAACTAAAGCACTCCGTTTTCTCTAGCTCTGGCACCAGTGCCAGGCCGACTGTGGCACTTGTGGCATTAGACAAGAGAAAATGTGGGGTGGATATGTTGGATACAAGAACCCCATAATTTTTAAAGGGGTGGACCGGCAAGCCAGCGGAAGACCTGAGTCAGTTGACCAAAAGCTCCAGCTGTGGGTCATCATATGACCCGCTTCACGAAACACTAGTCCTGTTTCCTGACAAACCTTACCTAACCTAACCTAACCTAACCTATATTTGCACTAGTTACCCCAAAAGTATAATAACCCTGGGAGGGGGGCGGGGAACCCAGGCAGTGTGGGTTAATTCCACTGGTCTCCTTAACGAAGACCTCTCCCAGGATGCAACTCACTAAGTAAACTAATATATTATTCATTTAAGTACTATTGCATATTTTTTCAATGATTTACTATTGCCTTACGTAAGTAACATGGAAATAAGTCACTTCGACTTTTCGTTGGGTTATACTGGGTAAATTACGCGTATGTTATTATGTATGATAACTGTACTTACGTGGACCTGTATATAAATAAACTTACTTGACAGGTGTGTAAATTACGTATGGTAACCCCTAAAAGTGTAACAACAGCAGCAGCAGCAGCAGCAGCAGCAGCAGGTTCTAGCAAGCTTCCCCATACATCTTCCCTCATCCTCATTTCCAAATGTTTGCAAATGTTTATCCAGCGGCCAGGCAGAGCTTAATTAAGCTTACAGGTTGTGTGGTCTTGCTCAGCCCTTTGTTATGTCTGAGGAATATAACGAGGAATACTTCTCGAATTAGTGCACACTTGTTCAGAGCTGAGGAATACAAAGCTCTGTTGTCTCCCATGACCAGAATATCTCCCAGAAATACTTCTCACAGACACAGAACTGCGAAATACTGTAGCCCGTGGTCTCCTTAGATCAGAATATCTCACAGAAATACCCCTCTCAGACACAGAGCTAAGAAATACAGCATCCTGTTGTCTCCCTAGACCAGAATATCTCACAGAAATACTCCTCACAGCTGCAGAGCTAAGAAATACAGCATCCTGTTGTCTCCCTAGACCAGAATATCTCACAGAAATACTCCTCACAGCTGCAGAGCTAAGAAATACAGCATCCTGTTGTCTCCCTAGACCAGAATATCTCCCAGAAATACTCCTCACAACTGCAGGGCTAAGATATACAGCATCCTGTTGTCTCCCTAGACCAGAATATCTCCCAGAAATACTTTTCACAGACTCAGAGCTGATGAATACAGCATTCTATGGTTTCTCTAGACCAGAATATCTCCCAGAAGTGTTCCTCACAGACTCAAAGGTTATATTACGTCACAGGAGAGAGCTTGCCGGGCGACTCACAGCAACACAACACTAGAATAACATAAGAGATGCCTTCCCTCGCCCCGTCAGAGCTTAACACCAGGAGCTATAAATGTGCACAGGAGATATGTAAGTAATGTGCACAGGAGATATGTAAGTAATGTGCACAGGAGATATGTAAGTAATGTGCACAGGAGATATGTAAGTAATGTGCACAGGAGATATGTAAGTAATGTGCATAGGAGATATGTAAGTAATGTGCACAGGAGATATGTAAGTAATGTGCACAGAAGATATGTAAGTAGAGTGCACAGGAGATATGTAAGTAGAGTGCACAGAAGATATGTAAGTAGAGTGCACAGGAGATATGTAGAGTGCACAGGAGATATGTAAGTAGAGTGCACAGGAGATATGTAAGTAGAGTGCACAGGAGATATGTAAGTAGAGTGCACAGGAGATATGTAAGTAGAGTGCACAGGAGATATGTAAGTAGAGTGCACAGGAAATATGTAAGTAATGTGCACAGGAGATATGTAAGTAGAGTGCACAGGAGATATGTAAGTAATGTGCACAGGAGATATGCAAATAGAGTGCACAGGAGATATGTAAGTAGAGTGCAGAGGAGATATGTAAGTAATGTGCACAGGAGATGTGTAAGTAGAGTGCATAGAAGATATGTAAGTAGCGTGCACAGGAGATATGCAAGTAGAGTGCACAGGAGATATGTATGTAGAGTGCACAGGAGATATGTAAGTAGAGTGCACAGGAGATATATAAGTAGAGTGCACAGGAGATATGTAAGTAATGTGCACAGGAGATATGTAAGTAGCGTGCACAGGAGATATGTAAGTAGAGTGCACAGGAGATATGTAAGTAGAGTGCACAAGAGATATGTAAGTAAAGTGCACAGGACATATGTAAGAGATGATAAATCCTTACCTATCCATCAGAGGGTAGTGCCATGTTCCAACCTATCCTACAAAGGGAGGTGGAATATCTCAACCTATCCTACAAAGGAAGGTGGGAGATGAGGTCACGGCTGAACATTAAAGGACAGTGGTGGAGCCCTGAGTTCAGAAATGAGATCCCTCGTCGGCGTCACAACCGAAAGGTGAACGAGTTCGATTCCCAGGCTTTGTGCAGCGTACGAGAAAGCAGCACCTGCTACCCCTGGTTACCTAGCAGTAAGTAGGTGGTGAGAGTCAACAGGCTGATGATGGAGGCTGGGGTGATGGGGGAGGAGGAGGAGTGGGTGAGGGAGAGGTTGAAAAAAATAGGATTGGCTGATGGTGTCTTGTCAGGCTGATGGGCGAGGGTGGTGGGCGTGAGTGGTGGGCGTGGGTGGTTGGCGTGAGCACTCCCTGGCTAATAGGGACCTATGTAGACGATAGGGGGGTGAGGGAGGGGGAGATTAAGGGAGGGAGGGGTGCTCAGAGAAAGTAGGAATGCTGAGAGAAAGTAGGGGTGCTGACAGAAAGTAGAGGTGCTGACAGAAAGTAGATCTGCTGACAGAAAGTAAGGATGCTGAAAGAAAGTATAAATGCTGAGAGAAAGTAGGGAGACTGAGAGAAAGTAGGGATGCTGAGAGAAAGTAGGGGTGCTGACAGAAAGTAGAGGTGCTGACAGAAAGTAGATCTGCTGACAGAAAGTAAGGATGCTGAAAGAAAGTATAAATGCTGAGAGAAAGTAGGGAGACTGAGAGAAAGTAGGGATGCTGAGAGAAAGTAGGGATGATGAGAGACATTAACTTCATCTCCGAGATCATTTCTCACTCTCCAGCATCACCAAGTCTCCCTTGAGGCGGGTACAGGGCTCCTGATCCCGGAAGTGGGAGCTACCCTTTCCTCGGATCAAACCTGACAGTGTACAAGCGGTAAAATATATGCATTGGCATTAAAGAACCAGTGTGAATTGTTCCATCCACGATATTGTGGGTTAGTTGTGAATTGTTTCACCACGATATTGTAGGTTAGTTGTGAATTTTTCCACAATGCACACATACTGCCTCCATCATAAACAGAGCACACACACTGCCTCTCATCTTTTTTAGAAAGAGGCAGTACTGTTTTTGCGTAATAACTCACTGTTTTTTGCGTAATGACGCTTTGTCTTGAGCACAGAGGCGCCGAAGTCAACAGAGACAAAGCCTCTAGCGGCGGTGTTGACCACTGCGCTGCTCCCGGAGCGCACCAGCGCTCAATGCGCGCTCATCGG